TGAAGTCATTCAAATTGATAACAGAGGTCACAAAACTTCAATGGAAAAGAGAAGTGTTAAAATAGAAAATAGCAATTCTAAAGGCATTTTGTGGCTACTATAAGCAGGTGCCACTGTAAAATGTTAATGCACACACACATATACATACACATAATACTTGGTCTTTAGTATGATCCCACAGAACTTCAATATAATGGGGAGCTATGCCTCAGTTAAAAAAAAAAAAACTGGGTCGTTGTTTATCAGCAACTTTTGTTTCATGGCATACACTATACAACATTTCTCAATTTCTCTTGCAATCAAGGGTGACCATGTAATTGAGTTGTGGCCAAGGACATGTGCACAAAAATGATGCATAATGGGAAGTACATAAGCACTTAAAAGCCAAAACAAACAAAGAAAAAACCCTCAAGGTGACCTTGGGGAGCTACAACTTGAGGATGGCTGACTCCTCCAAGTACCTAAACACTGCAAAGGAGCAGACTATCATACTCTGATCCTCCACCACTGATGGATTTTTATATGAGTAGAAAATTAGCTTCTATAATGTTAGGTAGTGTATTGAGATTTGTTTAGTGTATTTCTTTGCTTCAGAAGCTGAGGTTATTCATAGTTTCTCTTGCCAATATTCTCTGCAATATAATTAGTTTTCCCATCCTGGTAGATTTCTGTCTTCCCAAAAGAAAGTATGCAAGTAGCTGGATTTTATGAAGAAGGACAGGGCAAAAAGACAGGCTTAAAACTACTCCACCCAGTATCAATACAAGTGGATGGTTCATATTTATACACTTTATTTTTTTTGTTTTTGTTTTTTAACTTTTATTTAATAAATATAAATTTCCAAAGTACAGCTTATGGATTATAATGGCTTTTCCCCCCCATAAATTGCCTGCCACCCGCAACCCTCCCATCTCTCGCTCCCTCTCCCATCCCATTCACATCAAGATTCATTTTCAATTATCTTTATATACAGAAGATCAATTTAGTATATATTAAGTAAAGATATCAACAGTTTGCACCCACACAGAACATAAAGTGTAAAATACAGTTTGAGTACTCGTTATAGCGTTAATTCACATTGTACAACACATTAAGCACAGAGATCCTACATGAGGAGTAAGTGCACCTGTTGTTGACTTAACAAATTGACACTCTTGTTTATGGCATCAGTAATCTCCCTAGGCTCTAGTCATGAGTTGCCAAGGCTATGGATGCCTTTTGAGTTTGCCAACTCCGATCTTATTTAGACAAGGTCATAGTCAAAGTGGAAGTTCTCTCCTCCCTTCAGAGAAAGGTACCTCCTTCTTTGATGGCCCATTCTTTCCACTGGGATCTCACTCACAGAGATCTTTCATTTAGGTGTTTTTTTTGTTTTGTTTTGTTTTGTTTTGTTTTTTTGCCAGAGTGTCTTGGTTTTCCACGCCTATAATACTCTCATGGGCTTTTTACCTGGATCCGAATGCCTTAAGGGCTGATTCTGAGGCCAGAGTGCTATTTAGGACATCTGCCATTCTATGGGTCTGCTGTGTATACCGCTTCCCATGTTGGATTGTTCTCTCCCTTTTTAATCCATCAGTTAGTATCAGCAGACACTAGTCTTGTTTATGTGATCCCTTTGACTCTTAGACCTATCAGTGTGATCAATTGTGATCTGAAATTGATCACTTGATTAGAGAGATGGCATTGGTACATGCCAACTTGATGGGATTGAACTGGAATCCCCTGGCATGTTTCTAACTCTACCATTTGGGGCAAGTCAGCTTGAGCATGTCCCATTTATACAGCAGTAAAAAGCAATGAAATCCGGTCATTTGCAACAACATGGAGAAATCTGGAAAACATCATGCTTAGTGAAATAAGCCAGTCCCAAAGGGACAAATATCATATGTTCTCCCTGATCGGTGACAACTAACCAAGCACCAAAAAGGAAACCTGTTGAAGTGAAATGGACACTATGAGAAACAGTGACTTGATCAGCCCTTGTCCTGACTGTTGATGTACAACTTAATACTTTATCCCTTTTAGTATTGTTTTTTTGTTCTACTTACTACTACTGGTTGAACTCTGTAATTAACACACAATTATTCTTAGGTGTTTAAATTTAACTGAAAAGTGATCTGTGTTAAATGTAAGAGTGGGAATAAGAGAGGGAGAAGATGTACAATTTGGGACATATTTATACACTTTAAAGCAGTTTTCATACAAAGTGAAGGAAAGAGTCAGTAAGGAAAAGAATAAATAAAAGGTGTCCATAAACAGATGTTCCAGTTCTTGGCTTTTTTTAGTGACAACAGTCCTTGGAGGCGTACAGCCCGGATGGGGAAGGAATTCCTATTTCTGAATGCTCATTGTACACAAAGCCCCTCTACATGCCACCTACCTGAGCTTCAGCAACTGCAAATTAAAACAAATGCAGTACCTCCTGGTTCTCAAATGTACACTTAGATTTGAGGTTAAGAGAAGGAAAAAAGGAGTAGCAAAAAAAGAAGGAAGTCATCACATTCAACGCCTTTTCATTCTTATTTGTAAGCTTTTGAAGATGTCTTTTATTGTACTAGGTGCTAAAAGCACCTATATATTGTTTTTAGATGTTAGAAAGATGATAATGAGTCAAATGTAAAACCATACACATTTATAAGTATCACTGGTTTAATTAAATAATTAGCCATTCATTCATTCATTAAATATGCACTGAGCACCCATGTGTGCTGGGCACCAGGCATTTGCTATAGAAAGATAAATAAGGCTCCTGTTCTGACAGCACTTCTAGGAGGATATTTCAAAAGGTTCATGGGAAAAAATGAATTAAAAGGTAAGCTTATTTTGGTGCAAAAAGTTGTTTGAATCCATGCAGAATTTTCATAATGTGCATCTTCCTTGAATTGAAGCCATGGGACTGCTTGGATCATACAATGGCTTTCAAAGTCTCGTCCGCTATGACCTAAAGAGTGTACCACGAAATGGGGAAGAGAGATCAAAGAATGAGAGAGAAGCTGGTGCTGGGAGGAGGAAGGTGGGGATTCTGGAAGGGAGAGAACTGGGCTGATGAGGGAGATTACTCCTGGCTGGGTAGATGGTGTGACAGCAAAACATTGGAAGGACCTGTGTTTTTGTTTCTGTTGTTTGTTTTTTTGCAAATCACTCTATTTTACAAAGGTAATGAAAATGAAAATTCCATAGCTGAATATCTATATTTATTAATAATTCTTTTTTTCTACTCCACATTTTACATTAGAAACTCTTCAAGATGTTATCCTTAGTTCCATTAGCACTGCTTTCTTGTGGTTTGTTTGTTGTCAGTGTTCTCAGGGATCTGGAACGTTCTTTTTCTTTTCTTTTTTTTTTTTTTTTTTTTTTTTTTTTTTTTTTTTTTTTTTTTGACAGGCAAGGCAGAGTTAAACAGAGAGAGACAGAGAGAAAGGTCTTCCTTTTTCCGTTGGTTCACCCTTGAAATGGCCGCCATGGCTGGCACGCTGCGCCGATCCAAAGCCAGGAGCCAGGTGCTTCCTCCTGGTCTCCCATGGGGTGCAGGGCCCAAGCACTTGGGCCATCCTCCACTGCCTTCCTGGGCCACAGCAGAGAGCTGGACTGGAAGAGGAGCAACCGGGACAGAATCCGGCGCCCCAACCGGGACTAGAACCCGGGGTGCTGGCACCTCAGGCGAAGGATTAGCCAAATGAGCCACGGCGCTGACCTGGTATGTTCTTCTAATGATTCCCAATTATCTTTCACCCCATTTCTGCCTTAAGGTTCACATTCAAATCATCAACCTCTTGCTGGCCACTCTCCCCAGGCCATTCACACATCCAACCCATCGGATTCTTTATCTTCTTTCTCAAATATGCCCTTCCTGATGAGTTAGCTCTCTCAGCCATCCAGATCAGAAAGTCCAGAGTTGTCTGAAATATCTCATCAGCTTTCATCCTCCATATCTAAATAGTTATCAAACACATCATTTCAGAGCATGGTAACTCTTGTTGACAACAATTAATTGTATACTGCAAAACAGCTAGAAGAGAGGATTCTGACTACTCCCAACACAAAGAAATGATAAATATTTAAGGTGATGAATATGCCAGTTATGCTGATCTGATCACTACACCTTGTATACACCTTGCATATACTTACTGAAATATCGTACTATATCCCATAAATATAATAAATGATTTGTATCAATTACATATTTAAAAGAATATGCTCTGTGAGTTTCTCAAGAATCTCTCCAATAGGCCTAGTATTTTCCTGTGGGTGGACATGGCCCTGCTAAAGCTCTCAGCATTTCACTCCTGGGTGAGGAAGCTGTTGAGGGGCTTGTTAACTCCACAGACTTTAACCTCTCTGCTGCAAAAACCAAGTTCAAAAACCAAGTTCTGATCACACCTCTCCTTAGTACTAGTTACCAACTCCTGACATCTTGCAGAATAAGCCAACTACGATAGACAAAAGTTTAGAACCTCTGGGGTGCAATGTCTGCCCATCTTTTTTACCACATGCCTCACCCCAGTGTCTTCATTTCCGGAGAGTCACAGAGAACTCTGCTAGCGCCTACAGAGGTCATCATGAACTTCCCCACTACCATGGCTGAATGCTACTATTTCCTCTGGGGCAGGGGAATGCCCTCTTGCCCACCTGGATTCTATCCATCCTACAATGCCTAGCACTAATACCACTTCCTTCATGAAACACTCCCAAATAACTAAACTCCTCCCCACATCCCACAGCCTTGATCTGTATTTTTAACTCCTGCCTGTGCTGTACTTGTTCATCTTAAATTTAACAAATGTATTATAAATCCATAATCTCTTAAACACTGACCTGCATATATTAGCATATGTAACAGAAAACGTTGAAAAGAGTAATATTAGCATGTGTAACAGAAAACGTTGAAAAGAGTAAGCATCCTATAATGTCTAGAATTATCAACTAAATGGATCAAAGGGATTAAGATATATGTAATTTGTGAATATGGAGATTTAAAAAGTAATTAACAAAATAATTACCATGGTGGATGATTCCATTTTCTAATAATGCTTGTCCCAAGTGAACGCCTTCCTCAGGCCTGTGAATCTCTCCAATTTCCAATAGCCATGATACAAATTCACTGCAACAGAAAGCCAGTGGTAAAGTCAGCAACCCTTTCTATGAGGAGACCCACCTGTACCAGGCAATCATAAAGCAACTATACAAAGGAAGTTTCAAAAACACAGGTGTATTTCAGGAGTCATTTTTTCTCATATGTAAAGCCCTTTTTTCTCATTTGTGAGGCCCATAGTCATTTAAGCTGGGCTCTATTCTAGAAAATCTATGTCTATATATTCAGACTTTCCTAAACTACACTTAACCAACTATTCAATTTGTTGAGGCCTCTCATAAACACATAGTGAAAATTTCAGAGTAGCTGTAATTATAAGGCTAACATTATCCACATAAAGGCAAATTTGGGACTAAAGGGAAGGAAGCAGATCCTAAAGATAGTAAAAGACTGAACTAGGTAGAGAAATAATGGCTTACTATAAAGAGTCAAACTATCTTTAGCATGGATTCCCAGGCACAGAGAACTAGTGAGCCTGAAAATTCCAGAGGGAGAGACAAAAAAAAAAAAAAAAAAAAAAAAAAAAAAAAAAAAAACTGCATGTACCGCATAGCAAGCAGAATTCTTAACAAATCCTCTCACCACACTTCCTCTTCCATAAAGACTCCCACCACTTGGTTTTTCAATTAAATGCTAACTTAGGGCACTGTTGTGAAGGGACCTTTCATATGCAATTAAAATACTAAATCAGGTGACCTTAAAATATGGAAATTAGCCAACTGGGCTTGACCCAATTGACTGAACCCTTTGAAGCAGCGTTTTCTCAAGCTGGTGTCTCAAGAGGAAGTCACAGGAATTAAAAGTGTGAGAAGAAATCCATACACTTCTGCTGACCTTGAAGATGGAAGGGGCCACAGACCAAGGAATGCTGCCTCTTGGCACTGAGAGCAGCCCTTGGCTGACAGTGACCAAGGAAACGGGGGCATCATTCAGCCACAAGGAGCTAAATTCTGCCAAGGACCTGGAGATGCATGCAGTGGACACTTCCCCCACAGCCCAAGGTTAGAGCCCACTTCAGCCATCACTGAGATTTTGGTCTTGCAAGATCCTAAGCGAAGAATCCATCTAAGCTCACCTGAACTTCTGAGTGCAAGTTAATAAATGCTGTTGTTTTAAGTTGTTAAGTATGTGATTACTTGTTATTCAGTACTAGAAAAATAATACACAGAAAAAAAAAACATAAAACTTTTGCTATATTGTTTTTAAATTTTTAATTTTTTTTTTAATTTAAATTTTTAAATTTTTGAAATTTTTAAATTACATCATTGTATCTAAAGGGTCAGCCATAAAAAATGCTCCATACATAATCATCCCTCAGAACTGCTGTGGGTGGGAAGGAACAGAGCTCGTGTTTTTCACCATTGCACAGGCAGCCCCAGCATGTAGATAATAAGAATGATGTTTGTAATGCTTAGGAGAGTCTCAGCTATGCAGAAATTTTTCTTAATGATCATGCGGTATCATTAAGAGACCACTAGATACAGAGACATTTTACAAATAGAAAATTTTATCATTTTTACATTTTAAAAAATCAAATAACATTTGAACTTTGACATAAGCTAATCTATTTTAGACTGATTTTCTTTTTTTCACAGAGGTCAGAGAAGTAAAGCTATGCACAGCAACAGGGAATTATTTTTTATTTATTTCAAAACCCAAGACACAAAATGGCTAACAACAAATAATTATTTGGATATGAGACGCTAAAATGAATTATCTAGTCTAAAAATATGCAATGTAGAAAAGTTGTTAAAATGCTTTCCATTCTTTTATTAAGAACCATCCAAAAGAAAGACAATAAGAGAAGAAAGAGTACAGTAGTTAAGAACCTGTACTTTGCAATAAGACTACCTGAATTCAAACCCTGTGTCTGCCCTCACTAGCAGTTAAACCTTGGGCTAGCAAATCTGGCTCTCTAAGCTGTTTTTTTCCAATAACATGGAAATATTAAGAATTTCAATGTCATAGTTCTGTCAAAAGATTAGATGACATGAAGTAAGTCAAGAACTCAGAACAGTGCCTGGCACACAGTGAATTTTTTTTAAGATTTATTTATTTATTTGAAAGGCAGAGTTGCAGAGAGGCAGAAGCAGAGGCAGACAGAGCGAGAGATCTTTCATCTGCTGGTTCACTCCCCAGATGACTGCAACAGCCCAAGCTGGGCTGATCTGAAGCCAGGAACCTGGAGATTCTTCTGGGTCTCTGACATGGGTGCAGGGGCCCAAGGACTTAGACCAACTTCTGCTGCTTTTCCAGGCATATTAGCAGACAGCTGGATCAGAAATAGAGCAGCAGGGACTTGAACTGGTGCCCATATGGGATGGTGGCATTGCAGGTCAGGGCTTTAACCAGCTACACTGGCTTGCAGTGAATTCTTAAAAAACATCGTAGCTGACAAGTGAATCGAGATGGTTCATATGTGGCTAAAGCATTACCTATTCTGATGTCAAAATGTCCCTGAACATGTCTAATTGAAATGAGGGAAAAGTCCATTTAAATAGTTAACCATTTGGAATATGCAAAAAAGGGTAAAGGGATAGCATTGTGGCTTATCATGGCAACTACTCAAGTAATAGGAAGATTCCAGTAACACTCTAGTAGTAACAGATCATTATCCACACAGAAATGACCCAAACATGGCTTATGATGCACAAGTGTCATATTGTTATGGGGAAAGCCACAATAAATATGGCTGACACAACTGAGTCTCCCCTACATTATCAGGTGCTCTGGGAAACACTTTACATATCATCACAATTCATTAGCATTACAACCATAGAAGACAGTTCAGGTAAACAGCAAAATGCCTTCTTCAATTAGGCCAAGTTTGATTCTGTTCTAACTTTCTAGCCTCATTCCTACAGACACCTGATAGAGGTGGCTTATCAGTTGTATCACTAGGCAGCATTGTTTACAGTAAAAATGACCCCAATGGCTGAATTGCATTCATGGTGGGAAGCTGGAAGAGACTCACTTGCAAGTGGGCATGTCCTGATGAGGACACTGGAAGTTATGTCCATGGAGTTCCTATAAGAGACACAGTCCTTTGACAGCCCAGGGCTAGAAGGGCCAGCATGGACTCAGATCAGCAGTTTTCCTTGCACAAGAGTTATCACCCAGGGGCTACCAGCAAAAGCACAGCTGTGTGGCCTGCAATGAGGATCACTCTGAAGAAGGGAGCCCATGGTGCAGGCCGTGAGTATCTACGGCTGTACTGAGTGGGGCACAGAGACTGTGCCTATGGTTGCTTTTGTCATGTGTCCCCACAGCTAGTTAAAAAGATGTCCTGGTGGACATTCCAGGTAAGCACTACAATCATCTCCATGTTCAAAAAGAAACAGAAACATAACCTTCCCAGTACCATGGCTACCCTGTGGTAGCAGCAGGATCTAAATGGGACAGTCTGGTTGCAATTTGGGGTTTTAAACTAGTTACTACTGCAGTCTGCATTATAGAATTGGCATTGGCTATCACTAACTGTATGAACTCCTTAAGCCCCCTAATGCAAAGTTCACGTATCTTTAAAAAATAAAGTTATTTCACTCCTAAGTATGTATTCAAGGATCAGAAATAATGCACAGAAAGAAGCTAGCATAAAGTCTAGCCTAAGAACTACCTGAAGGCAGCTACTGCTCCATTAGGTCCTGCATAGATTGGGCCAGCCAGGGAAATGCACTTACTGCTCTCTGCAGATACCAAACAACGTAGCCTGTGTGCTCTTGCTCGAACCTGGGTGTCTTCTCTGCCCCTTTCCCCCAGCCTGACCCCTCACACAAGCTACCCTTCATCTATCACCCTCCATGCTGACTCCAGCTGTCTAAGTCTGAACCAGTCAGCAGCTTAGTGAGTCTCTTCTCTCTAGTCTTTCCTGGCCTTCTAGATCATTGTCAACTCTGACTTTTGGGTTGTGGATAAACATCCACCCCAGACCAGAAATTTTATCCCCTACAGACAAACTGGCTTGCATGCCTTCTTTGCCTGCTTCTCCTTCAGAACATGGTACATTAGCAACAATGGAAGTCATGGATGGCCTTGGGTTGTCTGGTCATGATCCTGGCAACCTGTCCATTCCCTTATCCTGTTATAGCCCAGGAAATGTTGATTATGGGGAAATATTCAAAAATGTTTAGGGGAGTATTTTTTAAAGAAAATGAAAAAACAATTAAAGGAAAGTTAACCTGTGAGATAGTGAGAATATGAAAGAAATACATGCAGGCAGGCAACCAAACCTACCTTCCAAGAAAGCACTTAGGAAACGTGGTCAGTTTTCTTTTTCTGTCTTTGATGAGGTTTCCTTGTTTGCACATCATTTTATAAAGTTTCTCACCCTGTTCAGAGATCATTACCCAGGTGTCTTGTTCCATTCCTAATTTTAAACCTATCAAAAATGAGGGGGAAAAAAAACAGGTAACTGAAGAAGTCTCTTCATTCATTCACTTGTGCCTTCAATAAACTAGCATTTATTATATGTGTACAAATGTGCTGGGGGTTGTAGATCAAGAAGCTCATGGTATCCTAGGGAGAGTCAAGGCAAGATCCCTAAGGCATATAGCACCTCTGTGAATTGTGCCCAAAGGCATAGGGTGTAGCCAGTGGAGTGTAAGCAGCTGGATCTCAACCTCCATGGACACCAGAGCTAAGCACCCTGGTGCTGTGGACAGGTGAGCCTAAGTAGACAGGGTGGCCTTGGAGACAGCTCAAGGGTTGGGGTGGGGGGACTGTGATACAACGGAGGCATATCCAGTTCTCACTTCCATCTGTGAACTGTTAGGAGAGGTTTCACAAAAAGGCTATGCTTGAGCGCACAACAATGGATAGGTATTTCTAGAGAAAGAAGATGCATTCACAAGAGGCAACTAAGGTCAAGCAACACAGAGGCAGTGTGTACTGGGTTTCAGGTGAGAAGACAAGAAGAGGTGCTCATGGGTTACGGAAGATCCTTGTTCACCCACAGTTTTAACCTACTTCATCGCTTAGGTATTGGGGATACAGTTATATGTTTTAATCATCCAGAGGGGAAAAGCAGAGGGTTTCAGTTCAAGTCCCTGCAACCATAGGGACCACACAGGGAAAGGTGAAGTAGATAAATAAGCAGGAGGTGCTAGTGAAAGGACACAGCAACTGGCTCACTGTAGGTACGGGGGGTGGTGTCTGCCTAGCAGTTAAGACATCCACATTCCACGCTGAAGTGCCTGAGTTGAACACCTCCTGACTCCTGCTTCCTACTATTGAACAACCCTGGCACGCAGTAGTGATGGAGGCTCAAGTAACTGGGTTTCTGCCACCCACACAGGGGGTGGGGTTGAGGTGCAAGCTCCCGGTTTTGTAACTCTGCTCAGCCTCAGCCATTGCAGACATTTGGAAGGTGAACCAGAAAATGGCAGCACACTCTTTCTCTCTCCTCTCCCCACCTCAGCACCCTGTCATATCTGTATCTGCTTCTCAAACAAAAAAGACCACAATTTAAAAATAATCGTAAGTGTGCAGGAGAGAGAGGAATCAGGATACTTGGCAGGCTCTTGGTGAGAGTACTGAATGGAGGTGGGAAGGCGTATTGCGCAAAGTGTCCAAGGAACAACAAGTCCAGTCAGTCCTGGCAATGTGGAGTGGCATCCAGCAGTCATTACACAAGTATGTGAAGCTCAGGAAAAGGACAAGGCTGGCCCCAAAGATTGAGAAACTGGAAGTGCAGAAGTAGAAGTCAATCTGGTGGAAACAGATAACCCATGCAAAGAATCCGCTTAGAAGAAATCAGTGCCAAAACTGCAATCCTGAGATCACTGACACTTAATCAAGGGATGGGACGGAGGAAGAGCTATTGCAGAAATGAAGTATCTGAATTACTTCCACTCTCCAAAGCTACAAATTTTCCTATGGCTTTATTTATTTTTTACAATGCAGGGGTCAGTAACATATGTCAATAATGGTAAATAATCCCATAAGAATGGAGTATGACAAAGGCAAATATCATAAAGTTTTGTAGAATGTACTTTTTTTCTTTCATTCTCTGTTCTTTCAGATACTTGTCTTGAGTGGATGATAGCCATTCTGAGGGAAAAAGTTCAGCCTGATGAAAAATTCAATTCCCCTTCTGAGTTATTTGCTTGGCTACATGAATTGATTCCAAGATTCAACAAATCTTTAAAAAGTCAGTTATGCATACATAACTTTTATTTTTAAAATCTCTATCTGGATTTTCATCCAAGATCAATCAAAGGACTGTTTGAAAATGCTTTGGAAATTTTCATACAAATGTGTGCTCTGAATACTTTAATCAAGGCAGAAACTTTGTATATTTGTAAGAGAAAACATCTGGAGATGTAAGAAGGCGTTCTCTGTGTTCTGAAATTTCTTTACCAATTAAATGTTTTATTCCTCAATCTCAGGAAAAGTAATAAACAATGGTAATGCTTCTTAGCAATTAAGAAATCAATTGGTAAACAAACCAGAGAACACACACCTATCTCCTAGCTGAATTACAGAAATATGCCTTCTTGTAGATAACTTCAAACAAGTGAATAGTATCAGACCAAATATCTTTGCAAATATTTCCTTTTTTGTTATTTTAATTTTATTTTTAATTACCATATAACATTCATATTTATGGAGTGCACTATTTCAATACATATACACAATATGTACTAATCAAATCAGGCTGATCACTATTTCCATCTCCTTATTATCTATTAGGGGCCTTTGGCTCCTCTCTGTCTCTCTCTGTCTCTGTCTCTGTCTCTCTCTCTCTTTTTAAAAATTTACTTATTTAGTTGAAAGGCAGAGTTACAGATAGAGAGGGAGACACAGAGAAATAGAAAGAGAGAGAGAGAGAGAGAGAGAGAGATTGATTTTCCATCTGCTGGTTCACTCCCCAAACAGCCACAAAGGCCAGGGCTGGACCAGGCTGAAGCCAGGTAGCCAGAACTCCATCCAGGTCTCCCAAGCGGTTGGCCAGGGAACAACCACTTTAGCCATTTTCTGTTGTTTTCCCAGGCATATTAGAAGAGAGCTGGATTGTCAGTGGAGCAGCCAGGACTTGAATTAGCACCCACATGGGTTGCTGGTTGCAAGTAGGAGCTTAACCTGCTGTACCATAATGCCAGCCCCTGAGCTTCTTTTCTCTAGTTGTTATTTATTTATTTATTTTTGGCTGGAGCGGTGGGTGAGAGGTAGGTATTTGGCCTAACGCTTAAGATGTCTGCATCCCCTATCAGAGTGTCTGGGTTTAATTCCTTGATCTGGATCCCAATTCTAGTTTCCTGCCAATAAAGACTTGGAAAGGCAGCAGATGATGGTGCAAGTAGTGGGATCTGTGGGGAGCAACTCGGACTAGACTGTTACTGGAATTAAGACTTATTCTATGCATCTGCTCTCCCACAATATGGCGCTGGGAGAGGAGTAAAAACAACTTTTACACAGCTGCCTCCAGTTCAACCAGTAACCTGCAGGAGCTGATCACGCTCCTGATTGGAGGAGAGCAGCGTACTCGGCGTCTGGGTAGCAGAGTTGGGATTGGTGGAAGAGGACTATAAAGGAGGAGAGAGACAACATGCACCAGGAACATCTAAGGGGAACACCTGAGGAACATCTGAGCAGCCCCCGAGAGAGCCGGCCAGCGGTGTGCCGCTCCCCTGCGGAAGTGGGGAAAGTGGCAGGGGGAACCGCCCTTCCACGGAGGTGGAAGGGTCAGTAGCCAACCCGGGAAGAACCAGCAGCAAACCCGGGGAGGGCCGAGCAGACAAAAGAACAGCGCAGGGTTTAGTGTCGTTCCTCCGTGAAGAGGGGGAGCGACAGGGATCCCTGAAAATCTATCTTAAAGCATAAAGCAAAAGTTTCAAACTAGGTTGGGTCAGCACTGTGGCCTAGCAGGTAAAGCTGCTGCCTGCAATGCAGATACCCCATATGGGCAATGATTCTTGACCAGGTTGCTCCACTTCCAATTCAACCCCCTCCTAATAGCCTGGGAAAAGTAGTGGAAGATGGTCCAAGTGCTTGGGCCCCTCCACCTGGGTGAGAGGCCTGGAGAAAGCTCCTGGCTACAAGGCCATTTGGGGAACGAAACAGCAGATGAAAGATCTCTGTGTCTCTCCCTCTGTCTGTAACTGCCTCTCAAATGAATAAAATCTTTGAAAACAAGTTAATTTATATCCAAAGTGCCTGAATCTATAATTAGCAAGCTAACATGTGGTCTGGGAATTGTCAGTGTACTGTCAAATAATAGAGATCAACTGTTGGGCACCCAATGACATGGCAGTATTGTGATGACATCTGTCTTGTAAAGGAAGACTTTGTGACACTGCTTTGGAAATGGCAACAAGAAAGTACAAAGGAAACTGAACACACTGTAAAGCAAGTGAAACTATTTAAAAGACATCACCAGCCATACTATAATTATTTTGCAAACCATATAATGTTTTTCTTTTATTTTAGTAAGAATATTACTGGCACTCAAAACATACTTCAGCAAGAGGATTACATCACACAGTAAATCAAAGACAGCAACATAAAAATTTCCACGTGCTCATAACTCTTCCTCATTCTTTGCTCTCATGCTAAGTTAGAGGCCTAAAAAACAAAATGTGTCCAATGCACACACTCACCTTTTCGCCGCTCTCTTTCTTTTAAAATAGCTTCAAACCATTCATGCTTCTCTTCAGGTGTTTTTGCCATGCACACAAACCATTTATTTTTTGCTGTGTTATGTATCTTCCACCCATTAACAACAATGTGTCCACTGCTATGGAAATCAGCTGGAAATTATTAGATGAAGGTGAGAAAACAAAGCAATGTACAACATTGTATTAATGTGCTCATTCAATACACAACTTTCTAAAGCATTTTAAGTCTGTAAAATCTTTTGTACAGTTTAATATATAATAGCATTTTGCAGAAAAAAGGATATTTTGCAAAAAAAGATATTTTGCAGAATTAAATGGCTTTTTGCTTTATAAATATTATTATTAAATAATAAATACATGCATGTATGTTGAAAAACACAAGAATAAAAAATTAAAGAAATTTATACACAGGATGTAGTCAGTGATCAATAATGGAACACTTGTAAGTCATAACACTAATATATTACATAAAATCTAATACAGGGCCAGTGCTGTGGCGTAGTGGGTAAAGCTGCCATCCCATATGGGTGCCAGTTCAAGTCCTAGCTGCTCTACTTCCAATCGAGCTCTCTGCTATGGCCTAGGAAAGCAGTAGAAGATGGCCCAAGTCCTTGGGACCCTGCACCTACATGGGAAGACCCAGAAGAAGCTCCTGGCTCCTGGCTTCCGATTGGCACAGATCCGGCCGTTGTGGCCAACTGGGCAGTGAATCAGTGGATGGAAGACCTCTCTCTCTCTCTCTCTCTGCCTCTCCTTCTCTTTCTGTGTAACTCTGACTTTCCAGTAAATAAAATAAATCTTTAAGAAAAAAATCCAGTAGAGCAAACTAGCATTCATTTATTCTATGTCCAAATATATTGGTAACATTCCTTTGACATTAAAAGAATAACATTTAAGGATTTTCTTGTCAGTAATCAAACATTCAAAGGAGTCAGATTCATTTTGTCTATCATTCCTTTGAATAATATTCTAAGTTTCAGGGACCAGCACTGTGGCACAGCAGGTAAAGGCGCCGCCTGCAGTGCTGGCATTCCATATGGGTGCCAGTTCAAGTCTTGGCTGCTCTGTTTCCGATCCAGCTCTCTGCTATGGCCTGGGAAAGCAATGGAAGATGGCACAAGTCCTCGGGCCCCTGCACCCGTGTGGGAGACCCAGAAGAAGATCCTGGCTCCTGGCTTTGGATCAGCACAGCTCCGGCTGTTGCGGCCAACTGGGGAGTGAATCAGCAGATGGAAGACCTCTCTCTCTCTCTCTCTCTCTCTTTCTGCCTCTCCTTCTCTCTCTGTGTAACTGTGACTTTCAAATAAATAAATAAATATTAAAAAAAAAAAGAATTCTAAGTTTCAGAGGCTGTCTAGACCCCAGAGAAATTCTCTATTACTTACGAAACTGCACAAGAATGAGAACAAATCAATGGATATACTGAACTTATGGACTTAAAACTGTAGACAAACCATTATCAATATAAGGTTGAAACAAACAGAAACTCACTCACAAAATGTTTTCTTTGGGGATGTGTTGACATTTAATTGTCTTTTGTCAATACCTCACCATAATTTTGGCTAAAGGTTCATGTTGGCTTTGAACATGTCCACAGCAAAACCCCCCAGGGCAGCTCCCTGCCTGCAGAGCAGATTGGGAGAACAGCAGCGTGACTTGCAAGCGGCCTTTACTTGCACAACAGTCTCTGCAAAGCAAGGATCCCAAGATGGAAAAACATATGACAGAGGCCTGAGTCAGCATCTGCCCCAAATAAAGTGACACTTTTGATTTGACTTCCTTAACATTCATTAAGCAGCAATGGCCATCATACAGGAGGTGGCCACAAAAAAGTTAAAGGCGGTTTAGGGAATGACGTTAAAGCACATTGTTTTATTTTGTTTTGTTGCTCTCAAGTGATCTATATTTAGTAAGTTCTGAATAGAAGCAGTGGTGCTTGGCACTCATTCTCTCATAATTTGGTTCTCATACTCTTCCTTTAGTTCCAAACTCACTATGTATTTTCTGTAGTCAGAGTAAAAAATAAAAATAAAAATCTAAAAATGCATTAACAAGTGATGCTATATAGTTGTGGGGCCTTCCAAACTTCCAGGTTATATTCTAGCCAGGATGGAATTATATGAGACATCAGTCTGTATTAATATGGGTGCCACAATCCCATGAATAATAAATAACTGATGGAGGATTGATTCCCCCCCATAAAGAATTTACACACCATTTCTGAAGGAATTTTTGTACTTTCCTTCTGTCTTTTATGTACTTAATGCATATTCATGTTCTGTGAAAGTAGTCGAACTTCATAATTCATGGCAGATATGTTAATGGGCTTTCACGGGAAAATAAAAAGCATTACTTCATAATTACATTATAAGTCCTCATTATTAAGCCATAAAAATGACCAACTAAGTAATTATGATAAGTGAGTAGAAAAACATCAAAAATTTTAAATTGTATATGTAGATAGCCCCCTGCCCTGCAACCTGTCACCTTACAAGACCTGAATCACAATAAGCCCAAAACTTCAGGTTGTCTTTCTCTCTTCTCACACAGGCCACAGTGAGCTAAGTGATCCTTACAATGCAGTTTAATAGACCATGTAGTAACCACACAACATCTACAATGATAAACATTAGACTAATTTGAAATAAACACCATGTGTTCCTCTCACAGAGCACAGGGTGGGCATGAGGTCATGAGCCAAAGTAGCAGGAAAATGCTCCTGATGTGGCACAGGGGTGTGCCCCGTGGCAGCCACTTCTACAACCTGGGCCTTCTTTCCTCGACTCTTTGGGTCTGGTCACTGCCCTCTCTTCCCTCCCTGCTCACTCTTTTTGCATCCGGGCATATCTTTAAGACAAAAACCTTTGGTGTCTCATCAGTGAATCCAGTCAAAACATGTGGACCTTGCTTTAGAGATTCTCTTTAAACTGGGCCTGATAGGCCAGCGCCGCGGCTCACTAGGCTAATCCTCCGCCTGCGGCGCCGGCACACCGGGTTCTAGTCCCGGTCGGGGTGCCGGATTCTGTCCCGGTTGCCCCTTTTCCAGGCCAGCTCTCTGCTGTGGCCCAGAAGGCAGTTGAGGATGGCCCAAGTGCTTGGGCCCTGCACCCACATGGGAGAACAGGAGAAGCACCTGGCTCCTGGCTTCGGATCAGTGCGGTGCGCCGGCCGCAGCGGCCATTGGAGGGTGAACCAACGGTAAAGGAAGACCTTTCTCTCTGTCTCTCTCTCTCACTGTCCACTCTGCCTGTCAAAAAATAAAAAAATAAACTGAGCCTGATCTATCCAACCAGTGTCATTTTCCACACAGTTCCAATGTGTGTCCTCATCACTCTTCTTGTATGTGGCTTCCCTGGTTGTACTGTGAACATTTATGGACTCCCCAGGTTGAGCTTCTCACCATGCTACCCACCCCCTCTCTTCCCTTGCTCCTTATTAACGTGTACCTCCTCTTCCACGCAGCCATGCCTGACCACTCTGGCCTGCGCATATACTGCCTTTGAAAGTCACAGAATTAAGCACAGAACCAGACAGACAAGCGGGTTTGTGGTTACATGTGACCACTGTTTCAATGTAGAGAAAAAAACATCTTTAGCTGAATGTCTGCAGAAACGTACCTCAAATAACAAGTTAATTACTATGCAAATATAATATTTTGGAAGAACACTTTGTATCATATAATAATCTTAAAGGAAGAAAAATATTCATTTTTTAAAATTTTTATTTGAGAGTCAGATAGACAAAGAGATAGAACTCTTATCTGCTGGTTCACTCCCCAAATGCTTACCCACAATAGCCTAGGCTAGGAGAAGTCTCCCACGTGGATGGAAGGGTTGTAAATATTTGAACCACTTCCCACTACTCCACAGAGTCTGAATAAGCAGTGAGATGGAGTCAGGAGCCAGAGCCTGGTATTAAACTCAGGTTCTCTAGTGTGGGACATGGGCATCTTACCCAGCATCTAAACTGCTACATCACACAACAACACCAAGTCCCTTTGGGAAGTTTATATATTAGCTAATTTTTATCATACCAACTTAAAATTACAAGTTATTTGAAATATGTGACTATTTATATTCATATGCACGTGTATTTATATATCCACATACACTCTCACAGTTTTATATATACATGTGCACATAAGCTGCTCAACATGTAGTGTACATAATTCATAATGATGTGAAGTACCAGATGTTTTACAAAATAAGCAATTACATCTCATTTATTTCAAAAGATACTGTGATTTATAAATAGCGTCATCATTTTAATCATAGCGCATTGTTCAATATATTCATTCTTCAAAATAAGAGTTAAACTTATCCATAAAGAACGCTCTAAGATTGTGAAAAAGTCCAATTATGTGTTATCCTCAGGACTTAAACAAAATTAACAAAAAATTAAATGTCAACAGAAATTTCCAGGCTTCAATGGATCTAAAATACTAATTGACGGGGAAGACATTCAGCACAGCAGTTAAGCTGCCAGATAAGGCACATATCTCACATTGGAGTACCTGGGTTCAATTCCTGATTTAGAATCTGGCTACTGATTCTGTTTTTCTGATAATACAGACCCCAGGAGGCAGCAACGTTGACTTACGTAGTTGGAATCCTGCCATTCATGTAGGACACCTAGACTGAACCCTTTGTTCTCTGCTCCCACCACCTGGCCATTGTGCCATTTGGGAAATGAATGTGCTTTAAAAATTAAAATTAGGTGCTGGGTGTCATGGCACAGCAGGTTGAGCCACTGCCATCCATGTAAGCACTGATTTGAATTCCAACTGCTCCACTTCCAATCTAGCCCCCTGCTAATGTGCCTTAGAAAACAACAGAAGATGGCCCAACCACTTGGGCCCCTACCATACACCCGGGAGATCCGGATGGAGTTCCAGGCTCATGGCTTCAGCATGGAACTGTGTCAGCTATTGCAGCCATTTGGGCAATGAACCAGTGTACAGAAGACCTCTGTTTCTCCTCTGTCACTTTGTCTTTCAAATAAATAAATGTCATTTTAAAAATTAAAATTAAAAAATTAACTTTCCAGAAAGTGTCAAGAATTAAAATTCATTAAACATGGAATACCCAAGTTCAACAGCCTTTAGACACTCATTTCTTTCAAAACAGTAAAAT